AAATGCTTTTAAACATGTTGCTCCACAGATATGTTCACTTCTCGTCGTTCTCTTCTAAGGTATGCCTGTGACAAAGTATAATATTCCAACCCACAGAACAGCAGGTTACTTTTTAAACACTGCCTTCTAATTTAACTGTTTATATTGTTGAATTGTTCAATGGTTCAGGATCATACCACATAACAATATGGTCTTAAGAGGAAACAAAACAGTTCAGGATCAGACTACACAATGAAAGGGTATCAATAATGAAAGGGGGGGGGGGGCAGTTGAGGATCAGACTACACAATGAAAGGGTATCAAATAATGAAAGGGGGGGGGGGGCAGTTGAGGATCAGACTACACAATGAAAGGGTATCAATAATGAGGGGAGGGGGGGCAGTTGAGGATCAGACTACACAATGAAAGGGTATCAAATTGGAGGAGGAGGGGGGGGGGGGAGAGAACAGATGAGGATCAGACTACACAACGAAATGGTATAAGGAGGGGGGGGGAGAACAGCTGAGGATGAGACTACACAACAAAATGGTATAAATGGGGAGGGGGGGCAGTTGAGGATCAGACTACACAACGAAATGGTATAAAGGGAGAGGGGGAGGGGGCAGTTGAGGATTAGACTACACAACGAAATGGTATAAAGGGAGAGGGGGGCAGTTGAGGATTAGACTACACAACGAAATGGTATAAAGGGAGAGGGGGAGGGGGGCAGTTGAGGATTAGACTACACAACGAAATGGTATAAAGGGAGAGGGGGAGGGGGCAGTTGAGGATTAGACTACACAACGAAATGGTATAAAGGGAGAGGGGGAGGGGGGCAGTTGAGGATTAGACTACACAACGAAATGGTATAAAGGGAGAGGGGTAGGGGCAGTTGAGGATTAGACTACACAACGAAATGGTATGGGGGGGGGGGAGTTGAGGATTAGACTACACAACGAAATGGTATAAAGGGAGAGGGGGAGGGGCAGTTGAGGATTAGACTACACAAAGAAAGGGTATGGGGGGGGGGGGAGTTGAGGATTAGACTACACAACGAAATGGTATAAAGGGAGAGGGGGAGGGGGGCAGTTGAGGATTAGACTACACAAAGAAAGGGTATGGGGGGGGGGGGAGTTGAGGATTAGACTACACAACGAAATGGTATAAAGGGAGAGGGGGAGGGGGGCAGTTGAGGATTAGACTACACAAAGAAATGGTATCAAGAAGAAACAAACAAGTAGCAAATTTGCGGACCAATACTGTTAACATGCTGAGGGTGGGGGGCGTTTAAGACAGACCCCACCCCAACCCTTCCCCCCCCCCCCCCCCCCAACCTCCCCCCAACCCCCCCCCCCCCCCCCCCCCGAGACGTCGACTAACTTTGTAAGCATTCCTTCTGAGTGAATTTGCCTGAGCAGTGGGGAACCAACAGTCTGCATACAAATAAACCAGATCCGCAAAACGTATGTACACACATGACTCAGGTTCTAAGCAGCAGCAGCAGCAGAAGAAGAAGGAGCTTCGATGGAATTCGAACCCGTTAACCACTTACCGGTAGGCAAACATGCCTGCCACAGCGCCTCTTCTCTGAGCGAGCGATAACTTGCTTGAAAAAAAACACAAAGTGCAGGAATATTTAGGGCACATTCCAGGCCCTCATAAATGCCTTAAAGAAAGCCATGGTCAGGGCTGTTGTATTTATTCCAAAGGGCAGTGCATCAGCCAATCATTTAGCACCAACGGGCAGCTGACCTATTTTCTAATGACCTCCATAAAGGATAACATCCCCCCCCAAAAAACAGAAAACACACAGAGAAAATAGACCATTTGAGGAGGGAATAACAGAGGAGGACAAAGGATGGAATATTTCCGACGCTCAACTTACGCTTTCTCCCCTCATTTTTATCTTGAAATGAGTGTTGCTTCATAGCGATCTTTAACTAACCCCACCCCGTTTATTTTAAAACCTCAGTATCGCCTTGTTCAGTAGAGATTTCCCCCCCCCCCCCTCTCTGTGTTACATCTTTACCCAGAACTCCCCCATCTTTTCCCGCCTCCCCGGCTTCTGATAAACAAACGCTCCGGATGTCTTCCTCAATCTGTCGGCCTCCCATCTGCAAACAACCGGAGATTATTGATCCGAGAGCAGCCCACTGTCCTAGTTTCCTTACTCCGTGGGTGCCGGTTACAGAAGCTGCAGGAGAGGCGAGTGAACAGAGACAGAGAGGGAGGGCAGCTTACAATATCTGCAAGATCCCGTGGAGCTCTTAGGAAAAGAACCCCCTCCCCAAACCAAGAATAAAAAGCCAACAATTGAAGACTGTCGGTTATGAAAGCTCTGCCGCTGTTTTATTCACATTTGTTATTTGATCTTTGTTAATGTTAACATCTTCGCCTATAAATTATAACAGTGCGTTTTCTACAATTTAATTATTCCATATTAGTGGGTTCAGGTGGGCCACTGACTATACTAATGATGGCACTTTAAAGAGGCGTCTCTAATTGGCAGAACGTCGAGTAGATGTATTCCTGTGGTGATCTGTTATCATTTGTGGCGCAGGTTCCTATCCCCATATGGTCATTAGAGCTTTTGAACTGTTGTTACTGTAGAAATTCTTCGGTTCCATCCTTGTTTCTTTCCCTTCTACCAGTGTGGATCAGTCCTATCGACGGGAGCCACCCAGCGTTATATAAAACAGAACAGAATAAGCGTTGTTAGCCTAAACACTGCGGAGGAGATCAGAAAACTCATGGACATGTCCGATGTGCGATGAAGATCTTTAAATGCACAATAAACTAGGGCTGTACCGATTATTCGCTTCGGGGCCGAATAGTGGACCCAATAACTATTCGGTATTCGGCCGAATAGTTGCGGTCGGGCCGAATACGAATAGTGGTTACAACCGTTTCTGGACTGGTGGAAAAAAAAAAACATCAAGATTTCCCACCTTGGTTTATACTGTCAAGCGTTATCTTTGTGCACCACCTACGAGCGTCCCAAGTGCCCCTTTATTTCCATCTTGTATGTGTTGCGAGTATAGTTTTTAGGTGTGTTGCTGTAGAAACAAAATGCAACACTTAAAGATGTAAGAAGGGCAGAAAAGCAAGTGTTCTAGTGTTGTCGGCTTGATTTCTTTGAGTGGAGAGTCCTCTTCGTTGATTGTTTGAAGTAACGGGAGTTCGTCCTTATTTATGGGTGTCGTAACTGTTCTTTCGTCGTCTGGTGGAAACGGCAGCGGCTGAATGTTTTGATCGACGTTCGGTTTCTTCGTTGTCTTTGTTGTTTGATCTTCTGGCGTTGGCCGCTCAGCGTCTGGATTTTTCGTCTGCAATGATTTTTTCGCTATTTGATCTTCAGGTGTTGGCTGCTCGGCGTTGTCCGTCTCCGTGGCCGCGGTGGTCTTTGATGTCGCTATCTTGTTTCCTTGAGCTCGCGGAAGAGGGGGGGGGGGGGGGGGGCTGGGCGACTTGTGAGGACGGCATTGTTTTCTTCGTCGGCGTTATTTTTGTTTTTGATGTTTTTTCGCCTTGCGGGTTTTTATCTTGACTCTCTGTATTTGTCGTATTTTCCTGTTTAGTACAGCTGGAAATATCTTCAGTGAGAAAAAAAAAAGCTGCCCTAATGCTGACAACATGGAACGAAGGTTTTTCATGGAGGTGTGTCAGCACATGAACTAATACGTGCTGCAGGAGATCGCAGATTGTGGCGAGGCATAATCGCCCATGCCAGCCGGCAAAGCACATGATGATGATGATTCACTATTCGTATTCGTATTCGGCCGAATAGTTGGTCCAGCTATTCGTATTCGGCCGAATAGTGAAAAAATCACTATTCGGTACAGCCCTACAATAAACCAATCAATTTACTTTTCGTGCCATGCATTTACCTTAACGCCAAACTTCCGGCAAAGAGAACACCAGCACAACCAACACTTTAAGGGTCTCTGAGTTAATCACAAAAGACACGTGATGTTAATACTAGAGATGGCATGCAAGATATAAAAAACCTATTTCAAGCGAACGAAAGAAGAATTTCTCTAACTGTACTCTTAAAGAAATGCCATTTCGACAATGGAAGCTATCAGCAGTTTATTCCCTGCTGTTCTAAAGAATATTAATTATTTTGTGAAGCCCCAACCTCTTCCATGGTGTGATTCTCAGACCACTGTCTGAAAGCCATGAGAATAGTTTTTCTTTCTTTCAAACAGCCCGATGCGGATACTAATCACTGGTACGTCGAGGCTCGGATTGTGATATATTTCACGAATTTCAATGCCAAAAAAGCCGCATGAATGGTACCCTAGCCATTGGTATTTGGAGATATTCTAGCCAAATCCACAATAATATAATTTAAACGCACAAACGTTATGCGCGGATTTTAATTATGGTTCCAGAAATCCTGTTTAACTTTAAAAATCTGTAAGTCGGTAACCGTTCGGTGTAAGTTTGGCATGCAACATATTAATAATCATGTCTTTGTAGATGTAAAGAAACATCTAGTTTTAATTTTGTCTTAATCACAATAGTTTTAATAAAACCAGGATGCTTACCGTTAACTGAGTATTGGGACTTTTTGAAAACTGCAAATTGCACGCCTGTCATTTGTTGTTGTTGTGTTTTTTTTTTTTTTTTTTTTTTCTTTTTTCTTTTAATATCCAGAAACAATGAGTTAACACTTGGCTCGGTACTATGGATATCGCAACCCTTCGACCCTGATTCCATGAGAGGTACCGTAAATCTGGCAGAAATGTGGCTTTTCTTCCTACACCCGGGCGTGAACCCGGAACACAAGGAGTTCGTCACCCGGTTGCTGCGAAGTCAGTTTTAACCAACTACGCTAGCAAGCCGGGCACACGCGTGTCATAAGCGTTTTACTCTCAGGTGGTCATCTCCGGCATTAGTGTACCGAGAGTTGCGAAATTTTCACTGCTTGGGGAATAGGAAAAAAAAATCACAATTTTTCGTTGCACATGTGAAATGATTTCCAAACATCACCAAGTATCGTTGCACATGTGAAATGA